GAAGGCTTGTTTTCATTGTAGTGAACCTCAATGCAAAGCAAGGGTGGAGAAAAGGATTTCGTATTATGCAACAGGGGGACTTTTCGTTGGGGAAAGCAGAAAAGAGGGAATGGCTTTCATGCATGAAGATTTTTTCACACTAGGGGGTATTTTCGCACATGTAGGTTTCGTTGTAGAGGAGTTTCACTGTAGTTCATTGTAACCATTTCCAAAAAAAAGCTTGAAGAAAGCTGAGATAGGCTCAAGCACGCCGTGGTGAAATAATAAACAATAAACAAGAAATTAATAACGAAGACAGTAGAAAGCATGAAAACAGTAAAAATAAAATCAAGTCTGAGTCATGCTGAGGATAGAAAAGTGTTTTGAGACGAGTTTTAAAGATGGCCAGCGAGGGGGCTTGCCAAATGTTGAGTGGGAGGTCATTTCAAAGAGAGGGACCAGCAACGGAAAAGGCTCGATCCCCTCTGAGCCTCAGCTTAGTTCTTGGTACCTTTAATGTCTGGTCCGCAGAGGCTGAGGCTGTTTAGGGGCAGAGGAGCTCGGAGAGGTAAGGTGGAGTGAGTGTGGCATGTAACCATAGCCACAGGGTCAGGTTATGACGGCGTGAGGTCACGGCCGTAAAGTGTTGATATAAAAAGGTGACTACTAGCAATAAACAGCAGTGAGCACAGAGACCCCCCGTGTTTATTTTAACACAACATTGGCGACGAGGATGGGATGATTAGAGACCAGCTAGCCGAACACACGTCGGACCTTAAACTGCGAGAGAAGCTGTTTTTATCGCCGGACGACACGACGCTGTCTAGGGCGGTGGAGATGGCCTTCCAGCTTGAGTCTGCAGCCCTGTTAGCATCCCGGCTAGCCGCTTCGGACCCGGCTCCAGCCCTTCCCCACCTCACTCCACATCTTTTTCCTTCATCTCGTACTGTTGCCCTCACGGCCCCACTCCCCGACACCACTGCTCCTCTCGACGAGCCAGAGGTTAACGTCGCGGGACGTCGAGGCGCAGCAATGAGGCAACATTGTGGGAACTGCGGCTCCTCATCACACCGCACACGTGCGCCCGCGTGCCCGGCGCTGGGACAACGATGCCAACGTTGTGGTAAGCTGAATCACTTTGCTAATAAAGTCTGCCGCTCTTCTCCTGCGCCTGTGGACCCTGGGCCTCACCTAACCGACGCGTCTGGCTCCACCACCATCCACTCAGTGGGCGCCTGCACCAGGCCGTTCAAGTGGTGCGCGGTCGAGCTGGACGGTGTGTGTTTGTCACTGTTGCTGGACACCGTGGCCTCCAAGTCACTCCTGAATGAGTCCACGGTCCGGCGACTTTTTCCACGAATGACTGTTAAACCTGGCACGGAAGACCTGTTTGGCTATGGACACACCAAGATCGACATGGTTGGCACCGCGACTTTTTCCGTGCGCTATGGCGCTAGAACTCTCCCGGCTTTCACCTTTCAGGTGTCCCGCAAGGGCGCCAACCTCCTCGGTTTCGACCTGTTCTGTGCCCTGGGCTTCTCCATTACGGACAACTTGGGTGCCACCATACTAACCGTCGCCACGCCCTGGCTGCACCGCCCCAGTTCCTCTCGGCTGACTTCGCTGCCTTCATGGGGGAAGGGGAAAAAAGATAAAGATTCCATAGTAAACTATAAAACGGGAAAAATCTGGCATTCCATTTGTCGCTGAGTTGAAAACATCATAAAATATCTAATGAGGAATTAGTAATGACTATTTTTCTGGTATCAATTGAAAATATGAGGTGTACCACTATATGCAATGTGCATTAACACACCCATTTAATATTGTACAATTGGTTGCCTGTTAACTGTTTACAATACAGTGCAGTAAGATGATAATTCAGGATAATATCAGGCTTTAACTACAGTACTGTTTGTCTCAAAAGCAGTTCTTTTCATTGGAATGTTGTAGTTGTTTTAAAACACAGGTGTCAAAGTCAAGGCCTGGGGGCCAGATCTGGCTTTTCATCAATTTCTTGCATAATGTCTTTTATTTTTCTTCCTGCATCTTTCATTTTTATTACTTTTATTCAAGCATTAAAGCTTTTCTTTTCTTAACTCCTTGGTATGCTAAGGTCAATTTTGTAGCCATTTTAGCAATGCAAAGTTTGTGTTGCGTCTGAAACTAACAATAACGAATACTTCCTGTACTACTGCGCATGTGTAAGCCAGTGTGGTGGTTGTTGTTGCCGTTTCCCAGCTAAGCAGTAGCGGTGGCTGTGGCAGGCTGAGGTTGGATTAGACTTTTGCAGAAGGCTTGTTTTCATTGTAGTGAACCTCAATGCAAAGCAAGGGTGGAGAAAAGGATTTCGTATTATGCAAGCGCATGTGTAAGCCAGTGTGGTGGTTGTTGTTGCCGTTTCCCAGCTAAGCAGTAGCGGTGGCTGTGGCAGGCTGAGGTTGGATTAGACTTTTGCAGAAGGCTTGTTTTCATTGTAGTGAACCTCATTGCGAGGCAAGAGCAGAGAAAAATATTTCGTATAACGCAACAGGGGGATTTTTCGTTGTAGGGGGAGCAGAAAAGTGGGAATGGTTTTAATGCACGAAGATTTTTTTCACACTAGGGGGAATTTTCGCCCATGTAGGTTTCGTTGTCGAGGAGTTTCACTGTACCAGCGAATAGTAGATTTAACAGTACTTGTGTGAAATCCCTCTAAAGACCAGGAGGAGGAGGTTTACCAAATTTACCAAACCATTTTTCAAGATTATTTCACTATCATTCAACTGGTCAACCTTCTTTACATCTATCAGAGCATAAGGATGAATGATGTACTTTCCATTTTCTTTTTTTTAAGCCACAAAGTTTCTTGCTGGCTGCCGGATCATCTGAGGAAAGTGCCTTTGTGAGACATATGCATTTTTAGAGTGTTCTTCAGAAACGTGCAGGATACCATCCTTTCTCTTCAGCCCTTGCTAATGTACTGTGTTGACAACCTCTGTGAAAATAGTCCTTAAATCTTGGAATAACTTTCCCAATTATGTGAGACACAACTCTCTTCCATTCACCTCTTCTCTCAGACAACACAGACAATTGTAGAGAGAGATGGCTGACACTGCCCCATTGAATGACAAAACACAGTCACTGCCTTTGACACGGTGTCAGGAATCCCTGCATAAGGGCCCAACTTGCTGTTGGCTGATAACGGTCCATATATATATGATACAATTGGAAACAATGACATGCCAGGCATCCAGTTGCAGTCCTGTTGGTCGTTATTCGTCATTAATTGTAAATGTCAATTACGTAAAAAAGATATATTTTCAAATCGATCATCCTGCTTTTCAGGGGGTAGGGGGTCTTTGGTTCTTCTTGCTGCACTCTTGTTCTAGAAGCGTCCCTGGCTGTAGCGCTTGTTTTCAATGACTTCTGCTCTCAACATATGGTTTTCTTTTTTCAGTTGTTCAATTTCCAGCTTCGTCTGTTTCAGAACGTCTTTGTGGCAATTAACATCCACTCCAAGCTGTTCGACTGTTGAAGTTAACCTTTCAATGCGCCGAGATGTTGAACTTGTTTCCATCATCAGTTCAATAGTTGAAATCTTATGGGACGTCTCGTGTTTTTTCGAGAGCTCTTGGCTTGTTGACAAAAAGTCGGCGCTAAAATTCGAACTTTCACTGTTTTCTTTGGAATCCCTTTTCTTCCGTTTGTTGACAGACTTCTGGGTTGAGATGTTGGTTTGGACTTTAGAGTTCTCCATTGCGCCCTTGGTGTGAGTTTCTGTGTGTTCCACAATTTGTGAATTAGTTTCTGTTGAGTGCGTGATTGAAACTAACTGTGATGCCGCTCTTTATTCGTTGCGCTAACTGTCGCCAGTCAGTGGCAGACCCGCCCCTTTTAAAGCGCCAGCTTAGTCCATCAATATGGGTTTCCAAGGATGGAATTTATTTGATTCCTTCGTGATTATTGCGGTCCTCGGATCCACTTTATACTTTTGGACAAGGGATTTGAGTCTCTAATCCTTCATTGTGTCCGAGGACCGGCAACCCGAGGCCAAGGCCAAGGACTTGACTCCCAAGCCCGAGGCCAAGGCCAAGGAATTGACTTCCAAGGCCAAGGCCAAGGACCAAGGACCGACCTTTGGTCCTCGAGCCGGTCCTCGAGGCCAAGGACCGGCTCGAGGAACACATCCCTGCTGGCTTGCCACATCATTTTATGTGGCCCATGAAAGCAAGTCAAGCATGTCAAGTTCCATGATGCCTGCTAAAGTATGAACCAAAATTTCAAACTGTCATATGTAATGCACACCAACAGTCATTATTCTTAACTTCTGATTTTAAAATTAGTTATGGATCAATTTGTTGTGTGCTGTGTATGTAATATGTGGAGGTGATTAAACATTTATATGGCTTCCCAAAATTCATAACGGCCCTCCAAGGGAAACCGTAACTACAATGTGGCCCGTGAAAAAAAATGAGTTTAACACCCCTGTTTTAAAATGTGGTTTAACCTGACTCACTAAAGTGCTGTTTTATCAATAAACTTCCAAGAATAATTCAGATTGTGAAGGTCCGAGTGGCGTTGTGGCCCGCCCTCCCCAGCCAAGCCTGAAACATTGCGCTACCTGAGGACATGGTGCAGACTTTTTTGCTGCAGTGTCTCAGCTGTGGTGGGATGGGCCGTGATCCATCTCACTACCGTTATGAAGCGCCAGGTGTCAATATTAAACGCTTATAAATTACACAAGATGGCTAACTTAATTGTAAAAGGATGATTAAGTTTTAATGTCGCCATGTTGCCTGCAGTCACGATGCGCTCAGCCCGAGAGGTGAGGTCCACACACACTGCGGTTCCCTTGAACAGAACGAGGCAAAGGCGAAAGCGACCCCTCGGTCGAAAACATTTTCCGGAGCTCACACACGCCAACAGAGGTTGTTTTGAAGGGGAAATCACCTTTTAGCACTTTGAACGCCACAATCTAGCGGGAAATGTAACCGTGCGCACGCTACGAACGATGACTAAAGTGTGATAAATTAACCTACCTGTTAAAATGTTGTCTTCTTTCGTCGTCATCGAGCCTCCTAGTTTCTCCTCCTCCCGAGCCTTCTCCCCGATGCAGCTACACCAAGCAATGGTCTTGTTTTAGTGGGATAACCCGACCAGAGGTAAAAATATATATATATATCTATAATGATAACAACACCGAGGGGGAAGGCGAAGCTATTTTTTGCCTAGTAGTTGAAACTTCACTTCCCTTTGCACCGTCCTGTGTTCGCGAAAATAAAGCACATGGAGAAACGGAGAGGCAGGAGGTCTCTGAAGTGAGTGAAGTGGAGGGGAGGGAGGCAGCGAGCACAGAGGATGTTGGGACCCCACATTGCTGCAGCTGCTCTCAACGCCCCGCCCATCACATTCTAGGCTGTCCTGGTCTGGAATACAGTACGTGCTGATCACGATGCTGCAGCTTGGCGCAGGACATCCTGCAGGATGCTTTGCTGTCCTCCAGACAAATGAATGCACGTGTTGATGAAGGCCGCCACCATCATACCACCATGTTGATCAAAGAAATATATCCTGCGATTAGATAGATGCAAGGAACGTCGTCAGACCCCATGAGCATTTTTTGCACTATAGTATGTAACACTGTGAAATGCAAAAAAAAAAAAAAAAATCTTAGCAGATTATATATTTGTTATTGCAGGAATTGTATTCTTAGGAGCAAATTTTGCATCCATCCATCCATCTATCCATTTTCTAATCCATTTAGCGTCCTGTAGCCTATCCCAAATACCTTCAGGCAGTAGGCCGGGTACACCCTGAACTGACTGCCAGGCAATCGCAGGACACACACAGTCGGACAACCAGTTACGGTCACAATCACACCTAGGTACAATTTAGAGTGTTCCATTAACCTGCCATGCAAGTTTTAGGGAATGTGGGTGGAAACTGGGGTACCCGGCAAATACCCACGCAGGCACGGGGAGAACATGCAAACTCCACACAGGAAGGCCAGAGCCAGATTTGAACCCTGCACTTCTGTGAGGCATACGTGCTAACCAGTCGACCACCGTGCGGCCCAAGGGGAAATCAACAACGAAAAAATATCTTTCAAGAATAAGTTCTATGCAGCCCCTCGAGTCTAAACATATCATTGTGATTAATATTGCATTTTTGAAATATGAGCTCAGCAGCAAAATTCACCTCTTTTTAGCCATCTCAGCGGGTGGCCATTTTGTAACATTCTGTCAAATGAAAATGAGATCACCGTGGCTTCGGGCTCAGGTAACGTCCAATCATGGTTCACCCGTTTTCTGAAGCTGAGCCATGATTGGTTGTTACAAGAGCAACCGTGATGTTATTTTCAGTCAACATCAGTTGGCAAAATGTCTGCCACCTGAGTTAGACAAATGCGGGTGGATTTTATTGTTTAGCTCATATTCCACAAATGCAATATTAATCAGAATGTTGTTTTTCAACTAGTAGCACTGCATAGAACTTATAATGATAAATCCATTTTTGGGGTTGATTTCCCCTTTAAAACAAAAAGCAAAGATCACTGGATTTGAAAAACTGTACATTAGTGTTAAAACTGTCACAATTGATTTTGGTGAAAATGTGGCTTGGCTTAAGTTTGACATTACGTGTTTTGTCGATTGTCTGCAATAGCCATGTGAGCTGCAACAGACAGCAAAACTTTTACGTACGGTATATTTGATCTAGTGGAATTTAAAACTGCACGATTAATGTATAAAGACATAACTTAATGCAGGTCAATATCCAAAATATGTTTTCAGAGAAATAGGGTGGCCATAGTTTAAGGGCAAAGTCAAGTCAAAAATGTTCTTTACACGAATATGTTCTATGCAATGCCATTCTAAACACAGCCATCTGATTTGCAGTGAGTTTGAGAAATATGAATTAAGCAGCAATATACACCCATTTTTATCCATCTCAGTGGGCTGTCGTTGCCACTGAAAATGACGTCACAGTGCCTAAGTGCAAAAGTAATGAACATTAGGAGCCGGCTCACCTGTTTTCTGGATTTGGTCATGTGACATTCACAAAGCTAATAATTTTCTTGCCAAAACATACCAAAATTGCTCATTGTCTTGATGTTTCAAATATTTTTGGGGACGGCAAACCCTATTTTACATTTAATTGAGCAATAGTTCATGCTATTCACTGTTTTCCGATTTCAGAACTCGTTATTGATCAATTTGGTGTCTGTATTTTATATAATGAGGCGATTATACATTTATGTGGTTTCACAGCTATAATGGGCCTCTGAGGGTTCCCATTACTACACGTGGCCTGGGACAACAATGAGCTTGACACCCATGCTCCAAATTGTCCTTTGGTTTGAGTGGGAATGGCTGTTTGTTGTTTGAGCCCTGCAGATGGCTGGCGACCAGTCCAACTAATGAGGGCAAACAGTAAATATATGGAAGGCACCACTCTATTGTCTTGTTGCCGCTAGAAGAGCAGTTGGGAGAAAAATAACTTATCTGTTATGGCACAGATTCATCCAAAAGGGCCAGGAGACAACGGGATGAAGATAAACGAATACAGCAAAAAGAAAAAAATGAACAAACCACGTCCTCCACCCATATACCAAGTGACTTTTGCCCATGATCATTACATAGGCCCAGCCTAAAAGTCACACCTGTTCTCAAAATTGACCACGGATGGCAACGTCCAAAGCATACACGAAAACAAAAGAGCCCATAACATCTGTTTTTGGAACATGAGAGAAATCAGAATAGCTGGAGAAAACCCAGGTAGGTAAGGGAGGACAGGCAAACTCCATACAGGAAGGCCGAAGCCTGAATTTGACCTCAAAATGTCTCAACTGTGAGGCAGATATGCTGCCCTAAAGGCATCATCCATCCATCCATTATCTGAACCGCTTTATCCTCACAAGCGTCCCGGGTATGATTCGCTGATACTCACGCGGGTCCCGGACATGCTGGATCCTATCCCAGTTGTCTTCGGGCAGTAGGCAAGGTACACCCTGAACTGGTTGCCAGCCAATCGTAGGACACACACAGACGGACAACCATCCGCGCTCACACTCACACTTAGGGACAATTTAGAATGTTCCATTAGCCTCCCATGCATATTTTTGGAATGTGGGATAAACTGGAGTACCCGGAGAAATCCCATGCAGGTATGGGGAGAACATGCAAACTCCACACAGGAAGGCCGGAACTGGAATCGAACCCGGTTCCTCTGCACTGTGAGGTCGACGCGCTAACCACTGGTCCACCGAGCCGCCCGGAGATATACAATATACTGTATCATGATTGCACCATAGAAAGAGTTTAACTACATCATTAAAAGTGTAAAATTAAGATGCCATTCCTGCATTCAGTGGCAAGTCATGCCACTGAATGCAGAAGAATGGTGTCAATTTGTGGTACTCATTTTTAGGGACTGTTTTCACAGGAACATGAACCAGTTGTTGTGGCCACGGTTACAACAGCAACAGTGTTTTGGAGACTGATTCATCACTCGTGACTACATGTGTCCCTGTCTAAACAATGGGAAAAAAAACGTTTGTATGTGCTTCAACATCAGTTGGTGGGCATGCATGAAATACCTGCCATGCATAATACAATGTTTTGAAGAATATTTTAAAACTCTTTGTAAATGGGGAACCATCGGACAATGCTATTGTCTGAATGTGAATGCTTCAAAAACACAAAGTAAGAAAACTACTAACCGTGACATATGCGAAGCTCCGGGCACATCCCAGCCACTATAAAATAATCAGCGCCGCCAAAGAAAAAAAAACACAATGCTAACCCATAAAAAAGCACCTAAGCTAAGTTAATTGGAAAGCGATGAATTGTCTCATGTGCTATTAACGGAGTTCCTCTTCAGATGTTGCTCGACTCAGTTGCTCAGGTGACCATGGTAAGGACAGCATGGATGGAAAAGACACTCCCCAATGTTCAAATCCAGCCCCTTGATTCAATTCTTCCGGATGAGCCACTGGCGATTGCTGCAGCAAATGAGGCATCCTAATCAGATGCCCGAGCCACCTCATCTGGCTCCTCTCCATGTGAAGGAGAAGCGGCTCAACTTTGAGCCCATCCCGGATGACCGAGTTTCTCACCTTATCTCTAAGGGAGAGCCCGAGCACCCTGCGGAGAAAACCCATCTCGGCTGCTTGTATCCGGGATCTCTCTAGCATTTTATGCTTTGTTTTTTTTTTTTGTTTGTTTTTTTTAAATTGCTTGTATACAAATGTTTGGGTTTGGAGTGCCAGCCTGCCCACCTATCAAGGTGTAAAATTAGACAACTAAGAAGGCTGCAACTTTTGATAGCTACAACCTATACCTGTGCCCCACTCCTAACTGCCACCAACAATTTGTGGTGGACGTTGATGTCATGATGGGGGCAAATGTTCTGCTTTTGATCAAAAGTTGTTTCTACGGTTCTCTGTGCTACACCCCTGCTGAGAAAAAAACTATAACACTATGACAAGGCCATGGTTGGCAGCTGGGTCATGACATCTTTCACCCAATGTGGTTAAACAGTGTAAACATCTTGTTGCCATATTGAAGCGTAGTTAGCCCCAACAATGTATGTTTATGTAGCGCGGTGCCACCTGTTGATCTCCTCTCATGCTATGTGCATCCCTCATGCACACACATGGCAGAGACGTAGCCTACATAATGCAAAACACATAACACTTTGGAGAAGATATATTTTTTCGGGTTGTGGGCATGGTTTGATGGGTAACTGCACATTGTGCTGGTAAAAATTGGCCTGGCCGATAATTGGTCTGTCCTTATTTTCAAGGTCTTCATTTTAGGGGCAAAATACACAAATTATGTTGTAAACAGCAATGCGAAACTGCTTTATTTTGAGCCTTGCAACATGTGAGTATAAAAGTGGTTGAAAGGGTAAACTAAATGTTGAATAATGTTATTACTAGTTTCATTAACTGTTCTAAATGCTTCACTTGTTAGATAACAATCCTAAGAATTTTCAGGAAATATCAATAAAAATTTCAATTTCTTTATATGAGGAGAATATGAAAACATCAATCCATCCATCCATTCTCTGCTGCTTATTTGGGGTTGGATCGCAGAGGCAACAGCTTCAGCAAGGAAGCACAGACTTCTCTCTCCTCAGAGACTTATTTCAGTTCGTCTCGGAGCATCCCAAGGTGTTCCCAGGTCAGCCAGGGGACATAATCTCTCCAGCGAGTACTGGGTCGACCCCAGGTCCTATTGCCGGTGGGATGTGCCCGGAACACCTCACCAGGGAGGCACCTAGTAGGCATCCTAATCAGATGTCCGAGCCACCTCATCTGGTTTCTCTCAACGTGGAGGAGAAGCAGCTTGACTCTGAGCCCCTCACGGATGACCGACGTCTCACCTTATCT